TGATTGGGCTGCCTCCTGCATGCCCCACAAAATCACTGGGCCACACCAGCCGGGCTGGCAGCACACTTTAAGAGGCATCTACCAGCATCTGGAAAAAAGAGAATAACCAGAACAATAGGGAATATGAAACTTTGCCTCAAGGGGAACAGTCGTAGAATCTAAGGTCATTTCTTTGAGAAAAGACAGCTTGACTTCAGTCTTCAAACAGGCTTATTCTGTGTGTCCACAGGACAGGACTAAAACTAATGGATGAAAGTTACAAAGACACAGGACATTTTTTAACATGATTTGTCAAAACTCCAAAATTCCAAAGAGCTGCCCCAAGGTGGTGGGCATTTCCCGTCAAGCAGAGGCTGAAAGAGTCCGGCAAAGCTTCCTTGACAGAGGGAGTAGAGACTCAGGACGGAAAATTGGGCTAAGTGACCTCTGAGACTAAAGTTCTGAGCACTTAAAACTTAGTCCTTTCTTTGCTACTAGTACCATTTTATCCACATCAAGAATCCTTCCTACCCAGTTTAATTGGTACAGGGACTAACCTTTTGCATAGATAACTCCTATTAGAGCAAAAGGTACAAGTTGAAACCAAGTCTTTTTAAAATGTGGACAGTTGCTCATTTCCATGATAATTGCATTGAACTCATGCTTTTTAATGGGTGATCCATTCTCAAATTTTTATATTATTATGTAGTGGGTTTCAAAGTAGGTGTTGGACTAGTAACTGCCTCCCATTCAAACTGATATACTCTTATACTGGTATAGACCTTCATATAGTATTCAAGGACATCTGAGATAAACTTATTGGTTATGTTCTCCCACTTTGCAGGGGAAGACACCAAGCAAGAACAAAACAAATAACTCAGTCTAGGCAATGAGCCTGGGACTGAACATTATTAGTTCATTGTTTTTTCCATTAGACTACATTGCCTTTTCTCTACTTGACTACTTTCTAAATTAAAACAAAGAAACAAACCCTGTGTCTGTGTGTATGTGTGTGAATGCCCATGCACGTGCCAGAAAGACAGATACTAAGAGAAAAAAAGAGGAGACACTGAGAGAGATTCTGAGAAAATAAAGCATGTGTAAGAAGCTAGTCTGTAACCTAGTTATATATTTGAATGCCTTTAACAGTGGAGATAATTTTGATGGAAATAGGAATGTCACCTCTGATGACAAAGAAATAAATATCCACACCTAGTTATATGTTGTGACTAAATGAAATTTTTGATGCAAAGGTGTTTACTTAAAACACTCTGTAGCTTCTTTTTCTCCTTCCTCCATTTACCATTATAAGTATCCCAGAGTATGAATGAGTGCTTTCACAGGTGTATGGGACATCGCACTGGCCCTCAGACACTATTTAGTACAATCGTTTCATTTCATGGACATGTGAAGTAAACTCCAGAATAGCTCCCAAACTGTATCAGCACACAATGATCAAAGGCCTTTTTTCTTGATAGCATAATGCTACTGGCATTTCAGGAACAATCCATCTTCCTCTTGGTAGGGAGAGGAAGTGGGAATTGGTAATTTTTTCTAAAGCTATATTTCTAAGTTCAACCAAATTTGCCTGTCTGCTTTTGAAGAACCCAAGGTATTGACAGAACCTTAGGATCCCATATTGAAATCCTTAGGACAGTGATGGCTAACCTATGACACGCGTGTCAGAGGTGACACGCGAACTCATTTTTTTGGTTGATTTTTCTTTGTTAACTGGCATTTAAATATATAAAATAAATATCAAAAATATAAATCTTTGTTTTACTATGGTTGCAAATATCAAAAAATTTCTATATGTGACACAGCACCAGAGTTAAGTTAGGGTTTTCAAAATGCTGACACGCCAAGCTCAAAAGGTTCACCATCACTGCCTTAGGATTATACTCAAGTCTTCTTACATGAGAAAGCCGCCTTACCCCACTCCCTGCCAAGAGGATTACCAGTGTCTATTCAAAGAAGGCCTTGGGTATGGTCCTTCATAGAATTATGCTTTTTAGGTGAAGAACACAACTTGGAAACTTAATTGGAATTTGAAGAAAGGCTATTAGAATTTTAGGATGTCATTTGTATTCCATTTTAAAGATGTGGCTTGGCTAATGAATTCTAATAAGCAAAAGAAGCCAAAGTATTCTTCATAACTGGATGTGGATTAAGTCCTATGACCAAACTCCTGTAGCACAAAATACTGCCACAGTCTTCCAAAAGCTTTCTGTGCCAGCCTTTCATTTTTGGGAAATAACACTTGTTAGAGCCTGTAATATCCCTGTTCCTCATGTTGTATAATCCTAAATTCCTTTATTATTTTCTTTTATTTTAAGCTTACAAGGAGAATAATAAAGACAAAAGATTATTTGAAATCTCATTTTCTATTTAAATTTCTTTTAAATTTTATTAATTTTTTCTAAAAGATAATTTTATCAACTGTGATCAAAACATTTATCTTTTATAAGTAAAGAGGAAACTTGCAAGTATGCTTCTTAAAAACCCTGCAAATTTTTCTCAAGTTGTGTATCATTTCAAATTGCAAATTACCACATGAATAAATAAATCCAAGCCCAAAGCAGATAGGAGATAACAAAATAATAAGCACAAAATAAAAACTAAAGGGGGGGGGATCATCAGTTGCTAAGGAAAATGAATAAAATAATCTTATCTAATAATAGACAAACATGTAAATTGACCATCCCTCTGCTACG